CAAACAAATGCTAAAAAATTCATATGGGTAATGTGTTGCATGACCGTGCAATTGTCATTCAAAGTGTGAAAGCTGAAATTTGGCCTGGACAGGAAGGGGGGTGAAAGTGTCCGGACTGGAAGGGGGGGAAAGTGTCCGGACTGGAAGGGGGTGAAAGTGTTTCGGACAGGAAGGGGGTGAAAGTGTCCAGACTGGAAGGGGGTGAAAGTGTCCGGACTGGAAGGGGGGTGAAAGTGTTCGGACAGGAAGGGGGTGAAAGTGTCCTGACTGGAAGGGGGGGGAAAGTGTCTGGACTGGAAAGGGGTGAAGGTGTCTGGACTAGAAGGGGGTGAAAGTGTCCGGACTGGAAGGGGGGGGGGAAGTGTCCAGACTGGAAGGGGGGGAAAGTGTCCGGACTGGAAGGGGGTGAAAGTGTCCGGACTGGAAGGGGGTGAAAGTGTCCGGACTGGAAGGGGGGGAAAGTGTCCGGACTGGAAGGGGGGAAAGTGTCCGGACTGGAAGGGGGGTGAAAGTGTCCGGACTGGAAGGGGGAGAAGTGTCCGGACCGGAAGAGGGTGAAAGTGTCCGGACTGGAAGGGGGGTGAAAGTGTCCGGACTGGAAGGGGGGTGAAAGTGTCCGGACTGGAAGGGGGAGAAGTGTCCGGACTGGAAGGGGGGTGAAAGTGTCCGGACTGGAAGGGGGGGAGAAGTGTTTGGACTGAAAGGGGAGGAAAGTGTTTGGACTGGAAGGGGGGAAAGTGTTCGGATAGGAAGGGGGGTGAAAGTGTCTGGACTGGAAGGGGTGAAAGTGTCTGGACATGAAATGGTTAAAGCAGAGCTTGAGGACACTTACCAGGTGGCTTTGCCCCTTGGGCTCCATCATTATGTAGCATGCACAGATGTGTCCATGGACTCTTCCGGCCTTCCTGTCCTGGAATGGACCAGTGGCACATTTGCGCACACACAGATGATTTTCTGTAAAGACAGGGAAGGTTTCGGACTCTCCCGGTAGCAGCCACCACTACTACAAAAGCATAATCTTCAATAGAATCCAGTCTGTTGTGGAGTTTAGAGACATTTTAATGGCAAATCATGTAATACGATAGATCTAGAGAAAATATTGTGCAGCAGGCAGTATACTCTTCATTCAGAATCCCTTTATTCTTTCAGGTGAAATTCTTCTATAATTCTATGATACGTGATAAAGCTCTCCCCCCCCCCCCCTTTCCATCTCTCCTTGTAATGCAGAACACCGCATTTTAAACAATAACGCACCAGTGGGAGCAATTAGATGTCTGTGAGACCCATAAAAATTTGTAAGTATGAGTTATCTCAGCAGAAACACAAAATACAAAATATCGGAGCTCATCCAGTGGGTGAATCCAGCAATCAGATGCAGAGGGGAATTTACTAGCAGCCAAGATGACAAGATAGATGAGTATCTTTTGTACACTGAAAGATTTGCAGCTCCTTAAATCCGAATGGATCGTCTTTTTGTTGTATATATTTTATTTATGTTCAGTTTTTTTTTTCCTTTGTAGGCAGGTAAATATGACATATTGCATATCAATATTTCATAGGCAGTACTAGAGATGAGCTAGCCAGTTTGTAGAAGAAAGAACTTGTTGGGATTCAGCCAATTTCAAAAGACCCAAAACGAGCTGAATAGAAGAGAGGGACTTTAACTACTTCAGCTCCAGGGCATTTTTTTTGCTAGAAAATTATTTATAAGTAAAATATATATATATATATATATATATATATATATATATATATATATATTTTTTAAGAAAAATAAAATATATATATATATATATATATTTTATTCCCTAACATATACACAGTGTGTATATATATATATGTATACATACACATATATATATATATATACATACACATATACACACACACACACACACACACACACACACACATATATAATATATCTACATATATCTATATATATATATTTTTTTTTTTTTTTTTTTTTAAGCAGTGGCCCTAGGGATTAAAATGGGTGTTGCAAACGATACACGGTATTTGCATAAATAATATATATATTTAACTTTTCTTAAAAATATATTATATATATATATATATATATATATATATATATATATATATATATATATATATATATATTGTGGCAGTGCGGTATCCTGCCACGGTGGAAAGCACGATGGAGACCCAGGATTCTCAACCATACAGGTTGAGGGGCTCCAGGCAGTTCTCATAATGCAGAGGAAACTGGTTTATCAGTTTCCTCTTTGGTTTTGTAAAGCCTGTTTTGGGACCTGTTGCCTGGAGATTTCTAAGAGATTTGGGAGGGATGAAATCTCCAATCCTGGGCCCATATTTTGGGAGCAGCCAGCGCGCTGATGGCACAGGTGTGTGCAGGCCTTTTTGTGGAGGCCAGGCCATGAATCTGGGCTCCACCCCGGCAGAGAGGAGTCAGGAGGGCTCCACCCCGGCAGTTAGGAGGGCTCCACCCAGGAAGACAGGAGTCAGGTGGGCTTTACCTAGGAGAGGTGGAAGCCAAAAGCAGCAAGGGGCTGTTAGAGACTAGCTGTGTGCTAGTGGCCATAATTCTTGAAGAAGTCTGCAGGAGACAGACATCAAGCTGTGTGTAAGCCAGGAGGCTGAATCTTTGTTTGATGGTGGATACCCCTGTGTGGGAAGCATTATGTTTGACCTTTCATTTAAATAAAAGTGGGCTAAAAAGGCCCTGAAAAAGAAAGCGAGTAGCTGTTTTCGTTTCAAAGCTCTACCACGTTGAAGCGAGTTCCCACAATATATATATATATATATATATATATATATATATATATATATATGCTTATAAGTAGTTTTTCTACTATATATAATATATATATATATATTAAAATGTATATATATAGATTTTTTTTTGTTTTTTTTTTTAAGAAAAAAAGTATATATATATATATATATATATATATATATATATATATATATAGTGGATAGATAGATAGATAGATAGATAGATAGATACACAGACACACACACACAAACAAACACATATATATATATATATATATATATATATATATATATATATATTTATTTATTTTTTTTTATTTTATTTTTATTTTTTTTTAAGCAGTGGCCCTAGGGATTACAATGGTGGATGTTGAAGTTTTTTACAGTACACTGTATTTGTGCAGCAATTTTTCAAACGCAATTTTTTTTGCTTAAAATACACGTTTAAAGCACAACAGCACAATATAATACCCAATTGTTTGGTAAAATATAAAAGATGATGTTACACTGAGTACACCTAACATGTTCCTTTTTAAAATTGCACGTGGAATGCTGACAAATGATAGCACTTTAAAATCTCCATAGGCAACAATTTAAAAACCTTTACGGGTTGCCAGTTTGGAGTGATACAGGAGATCTGCTGCTATAATTATTGCTCTCGTTCTGAGGTTCGCAGCAATACCCCACATGTGTGGTGTGATTGTTTACGAATGCTTGTGGGTCCGCCACGTGGGTTTGCTTGCGTGCAAGGTGGGATGCGACGTTTTCCAATTTTAAAAATATGGATTTTTTTTTTATTTTTTTCACACTTGTAATTTGTATTTTATTCGTTTTTTTTGTTTTTAACCACTTTTATTGCTATCACAAGGGATAAACAACATTTGTGATGGCCCTCTGTTTGGAGTGATCTGAGCTCTATTAGACCCCAGATTTCTCCTCTGGCCTACAAACCAAGATTGTCTCTTTACATTCAGGTGAAGTGACAAAATACTCATTGCTTTCAGTTTCTTAGGCCATAGAGAAGATTGGGGACCTCCCAGTCCTCGATCATCTCTATGGTCGGCCGGTGGAACCACCATTTTCATCCCTTGTCATAGCATGGGCCATGACAGGTCCTCTGTTTGGAGTGGTCTGGGGTCTATTAGACCCCAGATTCTTCCTCTGGCCCCTCAAAGCATCAGATCAAACCGAGATTGGTTTGATCTGATGCTTTTAGAAACCAGGATTGGCTCCTTTACATTACGGTGAAACCAAAAGTGACAAAATACTTGTTGCTTCCATTTTTGTAGGCTATAGAGATGAACGTGGATGTCCCAGTCCTCGGTCATCTCTATGGTCAGCCGGAACCCAAGCTTCATCCCTTGTGGTAGCATGGGCCATGACAGGTCCTCTGTTTTGAGTGGTCTGGGGTCTATTAGACTCCAGATCTCTCCTCTGGCCTCCAAAGCATCAGATCAAATCGAGATTAGTTTGATTGTTTGCTTTTATAAACCAGAATTGGCTCGTTTATATTCAGATGAAGTGACAAAATACTCATTGCTTCCATTTTTCTTAGGCTATAGAGATATTTGGGGATGTCCCAATCCTCGATCATCTCTATTGTCAGCCGCTGCAACCCCAACTTCATCCCTTGTGGTAGCATGGGCCATGAGAGGTCCTCTATTTGAAGTGATCTAGGGTCTATTAGACTCCAGATCTCTCCTCTGGCCTCCAAACCATCAGATCAAACTGAGATTGGTTTGATCTGATGCTTTTACAAACCAGGATTGTCTCACTTACATTCTGGTAAAAAAAACAGAAGTGACAAAATACTCATAGTTTCGTAGGCCATAGAGATGATCGGGAAGTCCTCAACATCTCTATTGTCAGCTGGTGGAACCGCCAGCTTCAGACTCAGGTTCCCTGTGGGGACAGGAGAGCCTGGGAATTCTGGCAGAAGGGACACCGCCTATATGTGTGTACTATAGAAGAGCAGATATAGTGAATGCGGGGTCCGGGATACCCTATAGTGAATGCGGGGTCCGGAGAGAGAGCGGATATAGTGAATGCGGGGTCCGGAGGAGAACGAATAATAGTGAATACGGGGTCCAGGGAGAGCTGATATATTGAATGTGGGGTCCAAGGAGAGTGGATATAGTGAATGCAGGGTCCGGGGAGAGCATATATAGTGAATGCGGGGTAAGGGAGAGCGGATATAGTGAATGCGGGTCCGGGGAGAGCGGATATAGTGAATGCGGGGTCCGGGGAGACCGATAAAGTGAATGCAGGGTCCGGGGAGACCAGATATAGTGAATGCAGGGTCCAGGGAGAGCGGATATAGTGAATGCGGGGTCGGGTGAGAGCGGATACAGTATTGAGAATGTAAATGCAGGGTCCAGAGGGAGTATAGTGAATGCAGGGTCCGGGGAGAGCAGATATAGTGAATGCGGGGTCCGGGGAGAGAGCGGATATAGTGAATGCGGGGTCCGGTCGGATTAAGTGAATGCGGGGTCCGGGGAGAGCGGAATATAGTGAATGCGGGGTCCGGGGAGAGCAGATATAGTGATGCGGGGTCCGGGAGAGCGGATATAGTGAATGCGGGGTCCGGGAGAGCGGGATATAGTGAATGCGGGTTCGGGGAGAGGGAGTCAGGGTCCGGGGAGAGCGGATATAGTGAATGCGGGGTCCCCGGGGAGAGCGGATATAGTGAATGCGGGGTCCGGGGAGAGCGGATATAGTGAATGCGGGGTCCGGGGAGAGCTGGGATATAGTGAATGCGGGGTCCGGGGAGAGCGGATATAGTGAATGCGGGGTCCGGGAGAGCGGATATAGTGAATAGAAATGCGGGGTCCCGGGGAGAGCGGATATAGTGAATGCGGGGTCCGGGGAGAGCGGATATAGTGAATGCGGGGTCCGGGCCGAGAGCGGATATAGTGAATGCGGGGTCCGGGGAGAGCTGGATATAGTGAATGCGGGGTCCGGGGAGAGATGGATATAGTGAATGCGGGGTCCGGGGAGAGCGGATATAGTGAATGCGGGTCCGGGAGGCAGGATATAGTGAATGCGGGGTCCGGGAGAGCGGATATAGTGAATGCGGGGTCCGGGAGAGCGGATATAGTGAATGCGGGGTCCGGGGGAGAGCGGATATAGTGAATGCGGGGTCCGGGGGAGAGCGGATATAGTGAATGCGGGGTCCGGGGAGAGCGGATATAGTGAATGCGGGGTCCGGGAGAGCGGATATAGTGAATGCGGGTCCGGGAGAGCGGAGATATCGTGAATGCGGGTCCGGGGAGAGCGGATATAGTGAATGCGGGGTCCGGGGAGAGCGGATATAGTGAATGCGGGGTCCAGGGAGAGCGGATATAGTGAATGCGGGGTCCGGGAGAGCGGATATATGCGGGGAATGCGAGAGCGGATATAGTGAATGCGGGTCCGGGGAGCGGATATAGTGAATGCAGGGTCCGGGGAGAGCGGATTATAGTGAATGCGGGGTCCAGGGAGAGCGGATATAGTGAAATGCAGGGGTCCGGGGGAGAGCGGATATAGTGAATGCGGGGTCCGGGGAGAGCGGATATAGTGAATGCAGGGTCCAGGGAGAGCGGATATAGTGAATGTGCGGGGTCCGGGAGAGGCGGATATAGTGAATGCAGGGTCCAGGGAGAGCAGATATAGTGAATGCGGGGTCCGGGGAGAGCAGATATAGTGAATGCAGGGTCCGGGAGAGCGGATATAGTGAATGCAGGGTCCGGGGAGAGCGGATATAGTGAATGCAGGGTCCAGAGAGAGCAGATATAGTGTGCAGGGTCCTGGGAGAGCAGATATAGTGAATGCAGGGTCCGGGGAGAGCGGATTTAGTGAATGCAGGGTCCCGGGGAGAGCATAAATATAGTGAATGCAGGGTCCGGGAGAGAGCAGATATAGTGAATGCGGGGTCCGGGAGAGCAGATATAGTGAATGCAGGGTCCGGGGAGCGGATATAGTGAATGCAGGGTCCGGGGAGAGAGCTGGATATAGTGAATGCAGGGTCCGGGGAGAGCGTGATTTAGTGATTGCAGGGTCCGGGGAGAGCAGATATAGTGAATGCGGGGTCCGGGGAGAGCAGATATAGTGAATGCGGGGTCCGGGGAGAGCGGATATAGTGAATGCGGGGTCTGGGGAGAGCGGATATAGTGAATGCAGGGTCCGGGAGAGCGGATTTTAGTGATTGCGGGGTCCGGGGGAGAGCAGATATAGTGGGTCCGGGGAGAGCAGATATAGTGAATGCGGGGTCCGGGGAGAGCGGATATAGTGAATGCGGGGGTCTGGGGAGAGCGGAATAGTGAATGCAGGGTCCGGGGAGAGCGGATTTTAGTGATTGCGGGGTCGGGGAGAGCAGATATAGTGAATGCTGGGGTCCGGGAGAGAGCAGATATAGTGAATGCGGGGTCCGGGAGAGAAGCGGATATAGTGAATGCGGGGTCCCGGGGAGAGCGGATATAGTGAATGCAGGGTCCAGGGGAGAGTGGATATAGTGAATGCCGGTCCGGGGAGAGCGGATATAGTGAATGCAGGAGAGTGGGGGTGAGGAGAGGGATATAGTGAATGCAGGGAGCGGATATATAGTGAATGCGGGGTCCGGGGAGGATAGTGAATGTGGGGTCCGGGAGAGCGGATATAGTGAAAATGCAGGGTCCGGGGAGAGCGGATATAGTGAATGCAGGGCAGAGTGGGGGTCCAGTGGAGGCAGGAGTTATAGTGAATGCGGGGTCCGGGGAGAGCGGATATAGTGAATGCGAGGTCCGGGGAGAGCGGATATAGTGAAATGCGAGGTCCGGGGGAGAGCGGATATAGTGAATACGGGGTCCGGGGAGAGGGATATAGTGAATGGGGTCCGGGCGAGAGCGGATATAGTGAATGCGGGGTCCGGGGAGAGGATATAGTGAATCCGGGAGGAGAGCAGATATAGTGATTGCGGGGTCCGGGGAGAGCAATATAGTGAATGCGGGGTCCGGGGAGAGCAGATATAGTGAATGAAGGGGGTCCGGGGAGAGCGGATATAGTGAATGCGGGTCTGGGGAGAGCGGATATAGTGAATGCAGGGTCCGGGGAGACTGGATATAGTGAATGCGGGGTCCGGGGAGAGCGGATATAATGAATGCAGGGTCCAGGGAGAGTGGATATAGTGAATAAAGGGTCTGAGGAGAGCGGATATAGTGAATGCAGGGTCCAGAGAGAGCAGATATAGTGAATGCGGGGTCCGGGGAGACTGGATATAGTGAATGTGGGGTCCGAGGAGAGCGGATATAGTGAATGCAGGGTCCGGGGGAGAGCGGATATAGTGAATGCAGGGTCCAGAGAGAGCAGATATAGTGAATGCAGGGTCCGGGGAGAGCGGATATAGTGAATGCGAGGTCCGGGGAGAGCGGATATAGTGAATGCGAGGTCCGGGGAGAGTGGGATATAGTGAATACGGGGTCCGGGGAGAGCGGATTATAGTGAATGCGGGGTCCGGGGAGAGCGGATATAGTGAATGCGGGGTCCGGGGAGAGCGGATAGAGAGCGTATATAGTGAATGCAGGGTCCAGGGTTTGGTAACACTTTAAGGAAAAGCCTAGATCAGGGGTGTCAAACTGGCAGCCCTCCAGCTGTTGCAAAACTACGTGACAAAAAAACACGTAAAAAACCCAAGTGCAAAAATGCAAAACGCAATGCAGAAACGGCACAAACGCAACCTGCATGGGTGTGAACCTAGCCTTAAATAGTCTCTGCCTGTCCCAAGATGGCCACCAAAGTCACACGGGGCACCAGAATCGATTCGGACAGCTGCCCCTATGACCCAGGAAACCATAGAGGAGCATGGTTCCTCTAGACTTCCTCTCCCTCTGCACCACCTGCAGCGCCTGCCTACATGCGTGTAAATTGAGCTTTAAATATCGCTGGCGGGAACCCTCTACGTGGCGATTTCCAACGCAAAGTAAACCACGCTGAGTTTTGTGTTTTCCGTTCAGAAAAGTAGAAGTGATTAGTGTGCAAATCCATGGCCTTTGGCAAACGCACCTCACCGAGCGTAAACAGATTAGAGGCCAAATGAACCGTTTTAGGATTGACCGCGCGGTCTCACGTCAGCCATGACTGAGCGCCAATCCTCCTTTTCCCTTTAAGGCCTGACCTTGTATTAATGACAAATCCCCCAATAGCTCCTGTAAAAAATATATGCAATCCTTCTTTAACACCCTGTCAGCAGATTACTAATGACCAAACGAGCTGCGAGGCCCTCTTAGCATTCCCTCAGCGTCCCTCTCATGCTGATAATTAACATACTAATAAAAGTAACTTAAAAATCGCACGTCAGATCTCACAGCTGGGGTGCGGAAAAAAAATCAACTTTTTGTAATTTTTTATTTTTTTTTACATATAAGAACAAGTTCTAAGGCCGGCAAAGTTTATACATTTTAATTTAGACATGAATTAGTAATGATTTGACTGTCAGAGATGAAAAATGGTGTCTAGAATGAATGGCTGGACTTATTTAAAGGGAAGTTATTAGAACGCTCGTTTTTCATATTTCTGGAGTTAATTAAACTTTTAAATGTTACTCTGATCATTACCGGGTTGGCATTTTTTTTTTATTTATTCATCACAAGTCATTTTATATTGCCAGCAATTGACCAGTGGTCTCCAAACTGCGGCCCAGGGGACGGATATGGTCCTTCCCAAATGGAAGAAAAATATATTTTAAATATATTTTTAAAATATTCTTCCCAAATATATTGGGATATATTTGAAATGCTACAATTTTGGTCATATTCAATATATTTTAAAATACTGTATTTTTCGCTCCATAAGACACACCTAGGATTTAGAGGCAGAAAACAGGAAAAAAAAATTCTGAACTAATGGTCGGCAGACATAGTACAGGAGATGACCAGAGACTGCGGACACAGTACAGGCGATTACCAGAGACTGCGGGCATAGTACAGGAGATGACCAGAGACTGCGGACATAGTACAGGAGATGACCAGAGACTGCGGACACAGTACAGGAGATGACCAGAGACTGCGGACACAGTACAGGAGATGACCGGAGACTGCGGACATAGTACAGGAGATGACCAGAGACTGCGGACACAGTACAGGAGATTACCAGAGACTGCGGGCATAGTACAGGAGATGACCAGAGACTGCGGACATAGTACAGGAGATGACCAGAGACTGCGGACACAGTACAGGAGATGACCAGAGACTGCGGACACAGTACAGGAGATGACCAGAGACTGCGGACATAGTACAGGAGATGACCAGAGACTGCAGACACAGTACAGGAGATTACCAGAGACTGCGGACATAGTACAGGAGATGACCAGAGACTGCGGACACAGTACAGGAGATGACCAGAGACTGCGGACATAGTACAGGAGATGACCAGAGACTGCGGACACAGTACAGGCGATTACCAGAGACTGCGGGCATAGTACAGGAGATGACCAGAGACTGCGGACATAGTACAGGAGATGACCAGAGACTGCGGACACAGTACAGGAGATGACCGGAGACTGCGGACATAGTACAGGAGATGACCGGAGACTGCGGACATAGTACAGGAGATGACCGGAGACTGCGGACACAGTATAGGAGATGACCAGAGACTGCGGACATAGTACAGGAGATGACCGGAGACTGCGGACATAGTACAGGAGATGACCGGAGACTGCGGACACAGTATAGGAGATGACCAGAGACTGCGGACATAGTACAGGAGATGACCAGAGACTGCGGACAGTACAGGAGATGACCAGAGACTGCGGACACAGTACAGGAGATGACCGGAGACTGCGGACACAGTACAGGAGATGACCGGAGACTGCGGACACAGTACAGGAGATGACCGGAGACTGCAGACACAGTACAGGGGATGACCAGAGACTGCAGACATAGTACAGGAGATGACCAGAGACTGCAGACATAGTACAGGGGATGACCAGAGACTGCGGACACAGTACAGGAGATGACCAGAGACTGCGGACACAAATTTCTCAAAAATTCGATTCGGCTGATTCGGCGAATTCCAGTGTGAAATTCGATTCGATGCGAATTTCTTCGCTACGAAGATGACTTATAAAAAGGGTTTCTAGGCTTCAGAGAGCCTTTAAATTAGTGCAGAACACTGTACCTTTAATTTAAATGCCCTTGGAGATGAGGAAAGAGAAGGAGAAGGAGAAGGAGAAGGATGAGAAGAAGGAGAAGGATGAGAAGAAGGAGAAGGAAGGAGAAGGATGAGAAGAAGGAGAAGGAGAAGGATGAGAAGAAGGAGAAGGAGAAGGATGAGAAGAAGGAGAAGGAGAAGGATGAGAAGAAGGAGAAGGAGAAGGATGAGAAGATGAAGAAGGAGAAGGAGAAGGATGAGAGAAGGAGAAGGAGGAGAAGAAGAGAGAAGGATGAGAAGGAGAAGGATGAGAAGAAGGAGAAGGAGAAGGATGAGAAGAAGGAGAAGAAGGAGGAGAAGGATGAGAAGAAGGAAGGATGAGAGAAGGAGAAGGAGAAGAAGAGAGAATGAGAAGAAGGAGAAGGATGAGAAGAAGGATGAGAAAGAAGGATGAGAAGAAGAGAAGGATGAGAAGAAGATGAGAAAGGGAGAAGGAGAGAGAAGGAGAAGGAGAAGGATGAGAAGAAGGAGAAGGATGAGAAGAAGGAGAAGGATGAGAAGAAGGAGAAGGGAGAAGGATGAGAAGAAGGAGAAGGAGAAGGATGAGAAGAAGGAGAAGGATGAGGAAGAAGGATGAGAAGAAGGAGAAGGATGAAGAAGAAGGAGAAGATGAGAAGGATGAGAAGAAGGAGAAGGATGAGAAGAAGGAGAAGGAGAGAGGAGAAGGAGAAGATGAGAAGAAGGATGAGAGAAGAAGGAGAGAAGGAGAGAAGAAGGAGAAGGATGAAGAAGGAGAAGGATGAGAAGACGGAGAAGGAAGAGAGAGAAGGAGAAGGAGAAGGATGAGAAGAAGGAGAAGGAGAAGGATGAGAAGAAGGAGAAGGAGAAGGATGAGAAGAAGAGAAGGATGAAGAAGGAGAAGGATGAGAAGAAGAAGAAGAAGGAGAAGGATGAGAAGAAGAGAAGGAGAAGGATGAGAAGAAGGAGAAGGAGAGAGAAGAAGGAGAAGAAGGAGAAGGAGAAGGATGAGAAGAAGGAG